ACACACACACACACACACACACACACACACACACACACACACACACGCACACAGAGCCTAGATACTTTCCTGTTGGTTTCTATGACACGGGAAGGTAAAAGAGTCAAACTACTTATTCTGTTTTGGGAAAGTCACTTAGCCATCTGCCTCATCAGTGACTGCCTGACTCAGTGGGGTTGTCTCAAGACAGAATGGAATTAATCTCATTAAAGGGCTTAGCACAGCACTCAAGTGTCAGTTTCTATTATTTCTCCTTCTGCTTGTTTTAAGTATGTTTAAAAACGGCCTCTTGTGTGTGAGCCTCTAAGGGGGAGAGGGAGCAGGAAAGACTAATGAGAATCTCAGGCAAAGTTTTAGCTGCTATTCCTCCACTTTCATGAGGAGCACCCATATTTGGTTTGCACTTGACAATTTACAAAGTAACTTCCACAGCCCAATGAGCAAAGAGGATCACAGGCTTCAGGTTCAGCGGGCAGGTGAGCATTCTGATGGACAAGGAGACTCAGTGTACTACCAAATCGGTCCCTTGATTCTACACTGAGTGCTGTTTGTAGGATATCAGATTGCCTCCCAAGAAAGGAAGTTGGGCCTGGCACATGAGCACATTGGATGCCCAGGCCTAGGCCAAAAGCAAAACAGCCAAGCTTGTGAGGAAGTAGGATTTGATAGTAGTGTGGTATCAGCTGACACTGACAGGAAAACACAGCCCAAGAAAAGAGGCACTTCAACTCCTGGGTGGATGACAGTGGTAAGAGTTCACTGCATTCCTTTAAACCTGAGCCAACATGCGAAATAAAGAACATTGGGTTTTTTAAGCTGCTAGAAGGTGAAACCATTAACACTGCACACGATGGCTGGAAACACCTGCAGTTCATATTTACTGAGTGCACCAGTCACTGGGAAAAGTAACAATGAACATAAGACAGGACGCTACTTTAATGGCTTTCAAGTTTGCTTACCTAAAACTTGTGCCAGAGGAGAGAGGATTAACAAAAAAAAAGAAAAGAAAAGAAAAGGCATTGCTGACCAAGTGTGAGAAAGAAGAGCAAGGGTTAAGAGAAGGAAGGATGTAGACGTTGTTGAGAGAACTAAAGCAACTTGTTTTATCTCTTTGGTGGTGACAGGATCAAAGATGAGCCAGAGAGGGACACAGTGACGTAGTGAGGGCAGAAAGTACGGGGGGCAGTTGCACATTGCTTTGCCTAAAAACCTTCTTCAGTCCTGACCTGTGCAGAAATGTGCTTTTGTCTAGGACACCATTTTTGTAAGCAGAAAACCACTAATTCTCTCTGCAGACTGAAGGGTGAGAAGAACTGCCAAGGAACTAGCTACATATAGAGGCACACACCCTATCCTACCATCCCAAAGCCAACCAGCACAAACAACAGGCTAGAAAACCTGGCATCTTCAGTGATTTAAAAAAAAATCCATCGATCTCTACCCCATGAAAACCATTATCGACCTGAGCCTCCAGTCTAATCTGCTGCAGGAAGGAGAGAATAAAAGGCAAGAAAGAACTGTCACCAAATCCCAGATCCTAGGTGGTCCTCTCTAGATTGGACTCTCTTTGTCAGCATTTAACTTCCAATTGGTGTTTTTTTCTGAAAGGAAAATTCTACATTCTCCAGGAAGCCTTCCTGTACCCTCCTGACAAAGTTTATGGCACTCCTCTTAGTAGATCTGCTGTTCATCTCTTGTATTTACCCAAGACCACTTGCATGGCTATTTTCTTCCAATGGCTATTTGCAAATGTCCTAAATAAGGCAGACACCAACACCATATCTTGTCCACTGTTGAGTGGCAAGAATATGACAAACACTCATTCAGTGTCAGCTAATCAAAATCTTTGGACCTCATATGATACAGCCTCAACCAGAACATTTGTAAAATGATAGCACTGTAGATTTTAAATTCTTACTACTGCCCAAGTCTAAGCCCTAAAGTAGAGAATCGAGCATGCAAGTCTAGCTTATTAGATACTTAAAACTAAAAAATTCCCAGGGTCCTGTCATACTTATCTGAATATCTTGTTTAATAAATATTTTTATTGTAAAGATTACTGTATAGAGGGGTTACAGCTACATGAGTAAGGTAATGAGTACATTTCCTATGGATCATTGTTATCCCCTCCTTTGTTTTTCCCCACCATACTTTCCCTCCCCACCTCCCCAACTCCTCCCCCCCCCACACCAACAGAAGTTGTAAAGTTCCTTTTCAACATAGTGTCTTGTATGTCTCACTGTTACAATGGGTTACCCTGTATCCTAGTTTCAGAATTTTGTTATTTCTCTTCCCCTCCCCAAATTAGAAAAAGGTATATACAATCTTATTTGAATATCTTAAGGTCTGTATCCACCTTCTTTCAGTCATTTCCCTATCATATAATAACTGTCTGACATTTGCTCTGCTCTTGATTTTCCTCCATATGGACTGACTCAAATAAGCAGGTCTTTAGGTGTTCTTCCAAGTAAAAATAAATGAAACCTTTCATTCATGGGAATTTATGAGCTAGATTAATACATATAGTTCTCCATTTCATTTTCCACTCTACTAGAAGGCAGCCAAATGCATAGATTAAAATAATAATTAAAAAAACCCTCTAGGTTAGGAGTCCAGGCTTTGAGCCCAACGTCTGTCATCATCAACTTGCTATTCACATCACACCTGCTCTCCTCCTCTTCTTCTCTGTCTCTCACTTTCTCTTTCCTCTCTTTTTCTTTCTCTCTTATAGCTGGGCTAATTAGATAGTTTCTCTCAGCTAGGAATTGCTATGATGCTTCCAGCCAAGAGTTCCATGAGGCATCACTAGAAATTACAAAAAAGTAAATATGCTCATAGTAAATATGTTTATTGAAATGCCATTAATCTGTCAACAAATCACTGGAGGCAGAAATCCTGGCACAGACATACAACAGAAAATGTAAAAGCTTCACAATATTTAGAAACTCTTACTTAGGTCGTAGATGTCTCTACATTATAACTGGGCCAAAAAAGAGGCTTGTCTTTGAAACAAAAGTGCTCATTACTATGGTATTAGGAAACTATCTCAGCCTTGAGTGAAAAGCCAAGCAAGAGGCCTTGAGAACTCATCCTCTTACACACTTACACACACACACACACACACACACAGTGAGAGAGCGAGAGAGTGGGAGAGCTGGAGATGAGGAGGGGGGAAAGGTGGAGAAGGGGATAGCTGAAGAGGGGGAAGGGGGGAGAGAGAGAGGCAGGGAGGGAGAGGGAAGGAGGGAGGGAGGGAGGGAAGGAGGGAGGGAGGGAGGGAGAGAAAGAGAAGAAAGAAAAGAAGTTGTCTGGAGATTAAAGGTTGCCTCAGGTGGTAGACTAGCTAGCAAGCGCGTGGCTCTGAGTTCAGAACTCCAGTACCACTACTAACAAAAGTGGGGAAATTGGGTGGGAGATAGTGTATTTCTTCATATATGACTACCTATAATGTTCAAGTCATTTAGATATTTCATTTACTCCATACCCAGAGGGCTAGGAACAGTGTCTGGTATAGAGAAAGCAGAATACAGGTATTTACTATGATTATTTGCCTTTTTTCTTGGTTACTATCATCACTATAGTCATTTAAAAGTCTTGAGGGAAGGACAGTTTAGTTTCAGATTAATAGGAGCATGTTACCTTAGGAGCAGATTCTCCTACCCATAACAATACCTAGGTGAACACCTAGGTAAGTAACCTAGGGCACAATTCCTATACAGATACTAAATACAAAATCCAAAAGCAATGGCCCAGGGCAATGCGAATGGCCTTCTGGGAGCACCTTCACACCTACTCTTACCTTTCTTTCTTTTTTTTTTTTTTTGGATCTGGTCGTGGGGCCTGAACTCTGGGCCTGAGTGCTGTCCCTCAGATCTTCAGCTCAAGGCTAGCGCTCTACCATTTGAGCCACAGCGCCACTTCCAGTTTTTTGCTTTTTACTTATGTGGTGCTGAGGAATCGAACCCAGGGCCTCAGGCATGCAAGGCAAGCGCTCTACCACTGAGCCAACTTCCAAGCCCCTACTCTTACCTTTCTTGATCTTGGGTTTCTATTATAGATCATTTGAGGACAAAGTTACTGGACTCAAAAGGCACAGGGACAATTAGGTTGCTTTTATAACTATTTTGGATTCTCCCTTAGGTGATAATAAAATCGGGCTGGTTTTGAAAAAGAAATGCATTGTTTCTCATACTGTTTCAGAGACAGGTGATAATAAAACCAGGCTGTTTTTGAAAAAGAAATACACTGTTTTTCATATCGACAAACTTAGAAACACCTCTAATGTGACTGACAGGATGCAACTCAAAAGTCTACCAAATAACTTTTAGGAATACCACACCTCATCCTACTTGAAAGACTCATTAGGAAAGGCAGAGGTAATTCTAAACAATGTTTCCAACAATATACAGGGTCACCAGTCAAAGAAAATGAATAGGGATATTATCATATCCATATTTTATAGTATTACTTTGTCACTTCAGAATAATTACTACAATATTGTATGTTTCCTTCAGAGTCAGGGAAACAGCAGATATTTATTGTTGCATAGACACATGGCTGAATGGCAGTATAACCACTGTTATTTTAGTGAGAAGGCCATGAATACAGGGACCAGTAGAGGTTAGTCATGTGTCCTACCATAGATGGAGATTTTTAGTTTACTGTGGTTCCTAAACTTGTATCTGACTTTATCTCCTTATTTCCTCTCCGCAGCGAACTCTGCAGCCCAGGGGGTATGTAACTATAAGTGATCCTGCATTGGTTTAGAATCAGAAAGAACAACAGTTATAATACATATGTCACTGCAACAGTAAGAACATGGCTTGTCAGGTGTACCAGGTTCTTTGTCCCAACTCCTGATATTTACTAAGTGGAAAGAAAACACTTAGTATTTGTAAAACACTGTCTAACTAAGGTGTTCTTAGTTCTTGCAACTTCTTTTTCCTATAAATCTGAAAGTATTTCCAGATTACCAGGTTAAAGCAAAGTGCTGAGCGGACTCCTCAAGATTCTAATTCAGAACAGACCTGGGTCCAGTAGTTTCACATGTTGATGTCTCCCACCACACTGATTGCTTAGATACCACTCAACTCTTCTAGATAGCCAAATTTATCCTAATGTCCTTCCTTCAATAGCACCTAGAGAATAGAACAAGAAATAGGCCAAGCCCTTCAGAAGCGGCAAAATAAGATTCCTTTTTAAGAGTTAACTCCCTGATGGTTTCCCTTCTCCTAAAGAAACCTTTTTGCTGTAGTCTACAATCTGTGTGTGTGTGTGTGTGTGTGAGAGAGAGAGAGAGACAGACAGACAGACAGAGACAGACATGGGGGGAGGTGGGAGTCAACAGTGTGTGTGTGTGTGTGTGTGTGTGTGAGAGAGAGAGAGAGAGAGAGAGAGAGAGAGAGAGAGAGAGAGAGAGACCTGCCTCATTCTCTGACATTTCTCTCAATCCTTCAAACTCTAGAGGCCTCAGCCTTTTTGGAGTTCTTCACACTTGCCAAGCTTCCTACTTTAGAGCATTCACACCTGCTATTCTCTCCCTTTGGGTTTATGACTCCTTTGAATTCCAAATGGATGCTCCCTGCTGTCATTTAGATTTGAAATTTAACATTTTAACCTTCAAGGTGACATTCCTTGAGACTTTATCTATTAATATTATTTTTTTCATGAACAAATTAAGCCATACTTCTATTCAAGAGATGACATGGGTATTCAATCTTTCCGTTTCAGTCACATTGCTCAAATTACCATTACCCAGGTGCCTAAAATACTATAGTTATCTGCATATCTCCCTTCCAACTAAATTTTAGCCTTCTTGTGGTAAAAAGTTATGTCCTCCTTCAATTTTAAGTGCACAAATAATTCAAGCTAGCAATAACTTCCTGTTCCAGGAGCTTGTAGAAACTTTTACAAGGGGTCTTTCCACTCTCCTGACACTCAGTGATACCTAATAACAATCAGAGCTAGTAGTCATGGAGTGCTTATTATGACTTCAATAATACCAACTCTATTTTATAGGTGCTTTAAGTATTTTATCTCCTTGAATACTCATTATAACACCGCTAATACCCCAATTTTATAGTAAGAATCCAAGGCTCAGCAAGGTTACAATACTTACCCTCAAGGTTCACAGTAGTACAGAAGCCCAATTGAGATTCAGGCAGTGGAATCCTTAAGCCCATCTTCCTTACCATTCCGAGATGGATTTAAAAAAAAATTGCGTACTGGTCATTCTTTCCACTCCCACTCTGCCAAACTGGCCTATCCATCACCACCTCTGCACATGTGGAAGCAAGCTGATCTTACCGGGGAAAGCTGCTTAAGGGCTGTATTATGAAGGGCACCACGGAAAGATGCGACTGTCCATAATAATTCTCAACCACCTCACCATAGTGACTGAAACTCTCCTACCAGGGTGCCCTTATAGCTTATAGCTACTCTGAGTCATAAATGTTTTGGAGTGAATTATTCAGATTATCCAGCAGCATCCTGAGGAATGGAAGGGATCCAGTTAAGTTTAGGTCATGGAAAAGAGAAATTTCCAAAAAAATATTTACTAGGTATCATCCTTCAAGATCAGATCAAAGTGCACGGGCAAGTATTTACATATGTTTGGCAAAGAGAGGCAGGGCTCTGATGAAGAAAACAAATGGCAGCCCTTGGAAGATTACTATTTTCTACAAGATGCAGCTTTACCACCAGTCCCAAATAGCCTCACCAAAAAACAGTTTTCACCCACAATATAGCAAAAACTACAAAACAACCAGGGGCCAGTGGCTCTCAGGAGGCTGAGAGCTATGAATCATGGTTCACAGCCAACTTGGGCTGGAAAGTCTATGAGACTCTCATCTCCAATTAACCACCAGAAAATCTGTAGGTGGAGCTGTGGTTCAAATGGTAGAGTGCTAACCTTACACAAAAGCTCAGGGACAGCCCCCAGGCCCCAAGTTCAAGCACCAGGACTGGCACAAAGAACAAGAATAAAACAAAACAAAAACGACCAAAACACAGAGATGCCTGCATCACTCAACTAGACAATACTGTCTTTATCGAACTACAACCAACAAAAGAGCTAGACAAAAGCCAACAAGCCAGTTACCCTCTAAAAAGCAGATTTCATGCTACATATGGCATTTCAGTTCCAAGAAGAAAGATTTCTCAGCCCTTTTCACACCTGCAGGGACTGCTACCTGTTTTAGTACCTGTGATTCTGCCTCTGGGACCCTCAACCCCTCACAAAAATGTCATAAAGTTGCTTCCAAACCCGAATTTCTCCTGCCCTGCCACCACTACAGATCACTGGACGCCTGGGCGATGCTGTAGGAGATCCCTAGAAGCAGGAGGAAAAAGCCAGTAGGCAAGTAGAATCTGCTAAAGTGGGAGCCTCAGAGATAACTTCCTGATGGGTTGACAGGTAGGAGAAGCAACCTCTTGGCTGCAGACCAGGAGGTGCTGAGACTTAATCTGATTTCTTCTTTTCTTCTGGTAGCAAGGCAAGCATCCAACCAGAAGAGGCCCCAAACTTCAGTCGTGTGAGTAATCAACTCTTCCACATTTCCATCCCTACCTCTGTCGTCATTTAGCAAACATTCCACGTGGATTTTTTTTCCACTTAAAGCCTTGCATCTAAAAGGAAATTTCCCATCCTTATGAAACAGCTTATTAGATAGACGTTTTCTCTCTTACTCAGGAAAACACACGTAACTGTGTCATCCACGTGCCAACCTCTCCTCGCCACTACCCCTGGTGGTGCCAGCCTGAGTAGCACACTCGGGGAAGCACGAAGCCATCAAGGACAGATCTGAGCTCCAGGTCGGCGCTGCCGCTGTTCCTCCACCTCCGTGTCGCAGGGGTCACATCCGGGGGCCGCCCCGGGAACTCACCCCCCTCCCCCGGCGCCCCTCCCCTGCGGCACCACGCTTCCTGTCAAAACAAACCCTTGGGGGAGGGGACGGCCCAGGCTAAGCCCAGCGCCCAGGAAACCCAGGCGACAAACCCCAAACACAGCGAGCGACCCCGCCGGGCTCCACCGTGGTTCGATTCCCCCGGGCCCCCCCCGACTCCAGGAGGACTGGGGTGCGGAGGTGGTGCCTCCCCCGGCCCCCCACCCCCGGGGGCCCCCGACAGCCGGCCGCAGCTCGCGGCGCTGTCGCTGGCACCCGCCCAGCGGGAGGTAAACAGCGGCCCAGCGGCCCCGGCGCCGACCCCGCCGCCCCGGGGACCCTCAGCCCGCGTCCCCTTCGACACCTGCCGCGACCCCTCAGTGTCCGCGTCCCGCTCCCACGCGGGACCGCGATTCGAGGTCAGACAAGGGGACCGAAGTGAGGAGCTGGAACCGGACTTGATGACCTCGCCTTCCCCCCCCCTCCCGCCCCAGCTCAGGACAGGATTCTGGAGGAGGGAGGGAGCCCCCCCTCCGGCCGTCCTGGGAAGAGGTGCCCCCCCCGCCCTGGCTGTCACTTTGGTGTCGGCGACCCCTCCCCTCGGATGGGTACGCACCGAACCCGCGCGGAGGCCGCAGACAGGCGGAGCGGACCCCAGGACGGGAGGTGCTGGGTGGCCCCTGGCAGAGCAGCTCACAACCTCAACCACGGCCAAGGATCCCAGCTCCCAGCCCCGCCGTCCGTCGCCCCCCTCTCTTCCACGCGGTATTTAAAGGGCCCTGAGGGACTTTAGTGAGAAGGCCATCCCCACACCGGCGTGAGGGGGGCAGGGGACGACGGCGCCGCGGGACTTGGGGTATTTCTGCCTGTGATCGTCGAGATCCTGAAGATTCGACCGACTCCAGAAACATTTTTTTGTTCAAGTTCGCGTCACAGAGGCCAAAGACTGCTTGAATTGCAGGGAGTTTACGAAGGGAGCAAACGCCTCCCCCCCTCTCTGTGCGCAGCGAGTGGTACGGTCCAAGGCTGCTGGGGGCGGAGACAGGAGTGTTTACGGAACTGGGGCAGCCGTGCGGCCACGGGGCCGGGCCCTGGGGGCGGGGCGCGGGGCGGGGCCTAAGCTCGGGGGCGGGGCCAGGGAGCCGCTGCGGGTTGGACAGATCCCACGTGGAACGCGGAGCTGCCCGCGGAGTTCCCGCGTGCACCACCGCAGGGAATGGTCCTGCCAGCCCTCGGCCGTGCGCAAAACTTGGAGTAAGTCCTATACTCCCATCTACAGACGGGGCAATGGAAGCGAGGAGCCCACAATCACATACACACACACACACACGCACACACACGCAGGGACGAGCGAACCCACAGAGTGGAAGGTGGGTTTCCCCCCCCCCACGCGTCCCTCCCATGTGTATCCACTTTCCGTCCACACGCGTCCAGATTTGCACCTGGAAGGGACGATTAGCTCCTGGGAGCCACGCCCCCTCGCGCTGTCTGAGGAGCTGGCGTGCACACGAACGATAAGCAGCAGCTTATTCCTCTAGGGTTCTTCGAGAAGTTTCAACTTGGGCCGATGTAAATAAGCTGTAGTGCCAAGCTGATCACTTCTTAGGAGCTGGCTGTAGGGTGTACGTGAACGCTACTTTTCTGCCCGGTGACAGTTCCTTGGGAGACCAGAGTCACGCAGGAATGTAAAGTGAATTTTGAGAGGCTGAAATCTTATCTGTTTGGTTCTGAAATCAAGGCTGGATTGTGGAGGCACATTGTTCACTGCCACGATTAGAAAGAGGGGAGGAATGGGGAGGTGTGGAAAGTGAAGGGGAGACGGACAGCATTTTAAAGCAGGTTGGAAATCCAAGCGTTTGGGGCTCAGTGGTAGAGGGCTTGCCTTGTATGCCTGAGGCCCTGGGTTCGATTCCTCAGCACCACATAAGCAAAAAGAAAAAAAAGCCGGAAGTGGCGCTGTGGCTCAAGTGGTAGAGCGCTAGCCTTGAGATGAAGAAGAGCTGAGGGACAGTGCCCAGGCCCAGAGTTCAGGCCCCATGACCACCCCCTCCCCCCAAAAAATCCAAATATTCTGTGTTTGCAACATGGACTTGTCTTGGGATCAATCCTAGCTCTGGCTTTCCCTTACTCAGGAGATGGTATTTTGAGGATGTGGTAAATGAAAGAATATGAAGTGTTTAGTGGTGTACACTTAAGTACTCAGTGCTACTGAAACTCTGGTAAACTCTTCTATATAAATTTGCTTCTGTGCTTTCTTTTGTAATGCCTCTCTTCTGGAATATACCATTTGATACAGATTGAGACTAATGAGAAAATTCCATTTCTTCTACCCACGTTCTTTCATACAAACATGCCCTTATTGGTATCATTCGTTGGAATAAACAGTCGACAGAAGCTTTCCATTTCAATTCTTGCCAAATACCAACCAACACACAACTGCCATTATCACCCTAAAAATTCCACAATCGAAAGATTAATCCCAGATCACCCCCAAACTCCTGGTAACTCTATGACAACACATCATAGCATTGCTTCCTTGACACATCATAGCATTGCTTCCTGAGCTTCTTAGGAACAGAAGTATTGCTTTGTGTTGCAACATAGCTTAGAACAGGTGACCATGAGTCAGGGTAGTTATCCAGCCTATCTGAGTGACCAGCTACCTGACCCTAGGCATGATATTTTTTTCAAAGCTCAAATATGAAACTCTCAAAGCTACAAGGAAGTTAATATTTGTCAAAGCAGGGGCATCAAGTTTCAGCATGTGGTGGGGTAAGAAGCTTGAAATGGAAACAATAAAGTCATATCAGCGACCCAAGTCTGGTCTTTCCGGAAACACAATTTTCTGTCACTTCAATGTTAAATAACTTTGTTAAGTGTGTGTGTGTGTGTGTGCATGTGTGTGTGTGCACATATGTACCAGGGCTTGAACTCAGATCCTCCCTCTCTGGCTTATCCTGCTCACAGCTACCTCTCAAGCTACACCTTCAGTCTGGCATTTTTGCTGGTTAGTTGGAGATAAGAGACGCACAGACTTTTCTGGCCAGGCTGGCTCTGATGCAATCCTCACATGCCAGCTTCCTGACTACTTAGGATTACAGGCAGAAGCCAATGGTACCTGGTTTAACCTTGCTGCTTGAAAACTCTTGGGTGAATCATCCAATCAATACAATGCCCTCAGCCTAGAAAAAAATATATAGTGTTATAAAATATAGAGTAGCTTCCTTAAAACAGATTTGTATCACATCCTTGCCAGCGAGTTACTCATAAGATAAACTTGCCCTGGTTAGGTTAGGTTCTTGGCTCACGATCCTCTTGACTCAACCTCCTGAGTACTACGACGATGAAAGGCATGAACTACTGCACCCCGCTTTGCACCTCATTGTTAAAGTAATTTACCTTTTTGGAGACTCATAGTTGTACAGTTTGCCTTCCCCTCAACAAATCATGTGAGAGAACACATTTGATCTAATACCCTTGGCAAAAGATTAAGAGCAGATCAACATTTTTGCATGGTGAAGGAACATATATAATATATATATATATATATATATATATATATATATACACTCTTTTTTAATACATCTGAAATCTGAGTTTAAAATTACAATGAAGTTTTGAAGGAAATCAGAAAAAAAATACTGTTTTAAATGTAATGGTAGATTTATAACCTCTGGACTGCTTACTTTGCTGATTGGAGCTGTAGTAGGTTCAGCTGTACCTACTACCCAGCCAGCACAGGGTACAGGGAGCCAGGAGAATGACTCAACATCATCGGTGAGTTTGTCCCCTGTTCTCTCCGTGGGTGTTATGAGTCTCTTCTTCCTGTGTTGATCTGATTTCTAAGTGTCTCAATATGTGCACATTTTTTAACCAGGAATGGCTTCTTGGGCCTGCAACCTATGTAGTTATAGTGCCTTTCTTGGTTTAATGCTCCACTACTAATTACTGTCTTGAAATTCTTAACTTTTTGAACAAGAGTTTCTCCTGAATCCCACAAATTATGTAACTGTTGCTGATCTTACCATATAGAAGGGGATTTGTTTTCCCTTAACCTGTTCTCAAATGCAAATCTATTATTTCAACTAGTATTTACTTGAAGAAACATGTGTTTCAGTTCTGAAGGAAAAACATAAACAACAATAAATAACCTCAATTAACTGGGTTTATCCCAGTTCACGGCTCATTTAAGCAATCTTCAAGAGTATATTTGAGTACACCTGATTTTGACCTATGTTTACCTTTGTCACCTAACCCCCTCACTTAAGAGCTGATTCCATTGTAAGGAAGAAGGAAAGACTGAATAGAATCCTATTTCTTTCTCTATTTAAGAGAAAGGGCTGAAGAAATCAATAAAGGGGGAAAGATGCAATTAAAAGCTGCAGGATGAAAAAAAATACTGTCAATATACATGCTAGGAAGCAGGCTGCTGGATGTTACTTTCTGTTCAAATTTGTTGTGAAATAAAACTACTCTCAAAACAGTCTACTAGAACGAATTAGCTCCACCTTCCTAGCAAATTCTATCATTCTTTATACTTTGGTCTTGCAAATGAGTCAGATTTAAGTTACTGACCAGTCTGAATATATCAGCTGATACTTGATCAATTTTCTAAAGCACCCAAACTGGTTCTCTTTTGATTCCTGAACTGAATTAGTATCTAGTTAAAATTTATTTCTCAATCCAATTGCTTGTATCCTTCCATTTAGACATTGACCAAGCCAGATGCCTGTCTCATTAAACAGACAAACATTCACATCAGTACCTTTCCTGCCCTCTCCACGGGCCTTTTCCACTTACCTGGATATGATTGTTCTTGTAGGGAAGGGCAAAAACAACAAAGAATGAGGACCAGCAGTGAGGGCAACTGGGTAGGAAGCCCGTGGGAAGTGGGCGGAGCCAAGGAGCACCTATAGGAAGTCAAGGAGATGATTGCTCAGTTCCCAGTGCAGGGCAAATTTCCTCCTGAGCTTCCCTCTAGGCTAGCAGGTGCTTGTTTTCTAAATGCTTTCTCTAAAGAGCAAAAGGCCCTCACCTCTAACCGCTAAGGCATTTTCTTTTTAATGATAAACTGGACAAGTATCCTTTCTCAAAACGTATGGTACTTCAATAGTGATACTGCCTTCTGAATATGAAAAATACAGAGCTCTAATAATTCAAATGCTTGCACAGTGATTTTTTTTACCTGTATTCCTGGGTACTCTGTTTATATTAGGACACTGACATGTTACAACTGAACAAAGAGATACTTAGCAGTGACTCATTGAATTGACAGGCTAAGAATAGAAACCAGAAGAACTCATTTAATTACTTCTCTCCACAAATATGTATACACACATACATGTGCTTAAACATACGTACATAGTGTCACGTGCAAAGTACTAGCTCATGTTATAATTATACAGTTTCCATAACAACATGTCAACAACATACCAGCA